AGCCTATTTTATTATCATTATCTGACTGCAATAGGCAATAAATAATATAGTTAAATATTCTTAAATTAGTATTTTACCAGTTTATAATAAGTACAGTCAAACCTCTCTATAATCACACACTTTGGATACAAAAATGTGTGATTGTAGAGAAGTGTGACAGTTTTAGAGGTTAAATTTATTATATTTAATAATAGTGTGTTTTTAAAAAAAATATGCTTATAAAGAAAATATGCTTATATAGGAGATGACTATAGAGAGGTTGGACTGTATACCTATTTGTATTTATTTATAAATCTTTCTACAATTGGTAATTATACTGGTTAAACATTTTTTTACCTGTACAACTTTTTAAAATTTTGTAACTTTTATATATTTTGCTAATAAAATTTTATAAAAAGAAGATGTATACTAGTTTTAAATCTGTAATTATATGTAAATCATTATCCTGAACAAGTTTACTTAAAAATAAAAATAGGTTGTTTTAATAAAAAAAAAAGTTATATTTAGATAAACTAAAAATTTTAATATTTTTATATAAAAAACTTTTTTTTTATTAATACAATCTAGTTTTGTTTTTTAAGTAAACTTGTATAGCACAAAGTTTTACACTTTTAAAATATTTTCACTCATTTTGTAAATGTTTTTCTAAATGAAAAATAAGATTAAAGTTAGAAAAAATTTTTTTAAAAAAAAAAAATTTCTAACTTTGATCTCATTTTCACTTAGCAAAATATTCACAAAAATATTCTGAGGTGTAAAATCTTGTACTAAGCAAGTTTACTTAAAAAACAAAACTAGATTTTATTTTAATAAAAAAAAAAGTTTTCTATTGTAATTCTTAGAAAAAAATATACGCCTTAAAATCTCTACTCTGTAGGGTAAACCGAGAAAAGGTTTGCATAATGTTTGACAATTTCACTAATAAAGCTCGAAAAAGGATATTCAATTTGGCAGAGATCGATAGATGCTTTAAGTATATATGCTTTATTAGATATATCTATACAATGTAGCAGATGCCTCTCTATTGCGGCAACTACTTATACTTTTATATAATTTGCTTATATGCTAATTATGCTAGATGTTCAAATTATGCTATTTGTGCTAAATATGTCTAATATGCTCAATATGCTTAATATGCTAACTAGAGATGGAAAAAATGTGCATTTTATAATAAAATACGCATGAATGCATATTAATATGCATGATATATAAAATGCACATGATACCGTATAATAAAATTTTTTTTTAAATTTTATCTTTATTAATGATAATATATCTAAATAAAGGTACTACATATTAACTTTTAATCAGATTTGCCTACATATATTCAGCTTTTACCAATTAGCCGATTGTAAATTTCATTGTTGCTTATCTTATATATTCATTCATAATTACGAATTTAATAAAGAAGATATATAAAAAAATTACTATTTAATAATCTTAACTATTTAAACTTTCATAATCTTAATGTTTTTATATTTTAATTACTGCTAAACCTCTCAAAACTGATATTTTAAATATTGATGATTTGCAAAATTGAATAGTTTAAAATGGTTTTAAATATAATAATCTTTTTAATTCAAATATTATCTATTAATATATCAATTTGAAAAGGTTTGATAGTAGTTTTTGTTTTGTTTTTATTTTTAATATTTTAATTTTTTTTTAATATTTTTTTTTTAATTTTTTTTTTAATTTTTTATTTTAAATTTAATTGTTTTTTTTTATTTTATTTTATTCTTTTAATAATCTAATATTTTAATTTACAAAATAAAATATTATTTTTTAATTATTTTTTTTTTTGCAAAATAATCTTCTAAATAATCATCATTGTCAGAAATATTATCTATAGAATAATCAAAACTTCTTTCTTTTAAGTTATCAGAATCATTTTCATAATATTCTAAATTATTATTTAATTATTATTATTTAAATTATTATTTAATAATTAAAAATTATTATATTATTTTAAAATTACTTACTATTATTATAATAATTATCATCTAAATAATTATTACTTTCATTATTTAAAATTTCTTTATATAATTCATTATCTAACTCATCACTATCTAATTCATTATTTACTTCATCCTCTAGTTTATCATTTAGTTCATCATTTGATTCATTATCTGACTCATTATCTAACTCAACATTTATTTCACTATTTAATTTATTATCTAATTCATCATCTGATTTATCATCAGAACTATCACTTAATTCATTATCAAATTAGTATATAAATTATTATCCAAGTTATTATCTTCATTATCTGATTCAAGTATATTTAATTTATTCATATTTTCAATATTTTTATTTTTATAGAGCTTTTAAGTAATATATAGTAATTGTAATCTATAATTGCTATATATATAAACTAACTTAAAAACTCTTGGTTTAGTTAATCTTTGTCTTTTTTTATTATAAATAAATGAAAAATTAGACCAGTTTCTTTCTGCTGTAGCTGAAGAAGTTGAAATAGATAATATTTTGCATGCTAATTTTGTTAATTCAGGAACAGATTCTTGAAAATTACTTTTCCACCACATTATTAGATCAATTTGATTCACAGATTTTTAAGCTAATTGATTATTAAATAGTCCAGTTTTAGTTTTATATTGAATATTTTTTTGCCAGATAATTGATAAATTTTGTGTATAATATTTAGAAACAAAATTAGAAATAGTTGTCATATAATTATTTGATAATCCACTTCCAGCTACTTTAGGATTAAGAAAATTTGCAATTTCCATAACTGGATGATATATTTTAACCCATCTTTCTTTTAATATATTTTTGATATCTTCTATATTATTTAATTAATTAATAAATTAATTAGTTAATAAATTATATTATTAAATCTAAAAATAGCTATAATTTTAAATTTTTGCTTTAGCTAATTTTAGTTATAACTTTATATATATTATTAATAAAATTAAATAATACTTACTATTTTGAATTGATTTAAAATAATTATGATACTATTTATAAAAATAAGATAGTTGAGAATTATCACTTTGAATATACTAATTCCAATTATTAATTCTTTTAAATTTTAATTAATTTTAAAAGATTATTCTAATAAATTTTACTATTAACTGTTTTTTTAACAATTCCATTTATATTATCTTGATTTGCAATTAACTCAGTAATAGTAAGACTAATTACAATATGGTTAACTTTAACTGATTCCATATAAATAAAAAAAGATCCCTATCTAGTTTTTGCTAGTAATTTAAGTGAAACCTTTGATTCTTGTGATTGTTGATGACATTTAAAAATTGCTGCTGGAATATTATGATTTCTAAAAAACTTAACAATAGCTTTTGTTTTTTTAAAAATAGAATTAGCCCAACTTAATTTCATAATATCTTGAATAATAAGATTTAAATTATGTGCTAAACATCCCATATAAATAATATTTAGAAAAGATTTACTTAAAATTTTTCAAGATTTCTTCATAATAGAAGCATTATCAGTAATTATAGCACAAAGTTTAACTTTATCTATAGTTTCAATAATATCTTCTATATCTTTAGCAATATTATTAGCTTTTTGATATACTTCTTCTGTAGGTTTAGCAAAAACAAATACTGGTTTTGGAGTTGCAAAAATAAAATTTGTCCAATGTTCAGTAAAAATACTTGATCTAAAAATTAATAATTTTAATTAATCAATTAATTATATATTTAAATTTATAATATTATAGATATCCGAACTTTGAATAAAATTATTTAATATCTATTTAATTAAATTTGATTAAAATTTTTATTTTAATTCTATTTCCTTATAGAATTAAATTAAAAAATTTTAATTAAATCTAACTAAATTCAATTAATTTTCATTATTTAAAATTTACTATCTATTACAAATCAAAGTTAAAAATTCAGCATTTTCAATACTTTTATCTACTTTTAATTTAGCCTCATTATAAATAGCTTCTAGTAATTGATTGGCCATTTTTTTTCTTGTAGGTAATTTAAATAAAGGTTTTAATTTTTTAATCTAGGCTTGAATTGGAACTAGTCACAAAATAAAAAAGGAAGACCACATTGAAAAACAGCTTCTGCAAATCCAAATTCAAGATTATCTTGTTCAGTTGTTGTAATTTTATCAAAAAAATTTTTAATATTTCTATTTTGCAATATTTTTTTTTGAAGTATTTATTAATAAATGAGAAGCAACTTGTGAAGATGTTATTTTTGGATGACCAAAATAAGATTAATAAGTTTCATTATCAATTTTAGGACAACTTTTTAAATGTGATTCATATTTGTTAAGAGCTTTATTGCAAGTATGAGGACAATATTTACATTTAATTCTTTGTTGTTTAAATGGTGAAACTATACCAAGATCAATATAATAAAGATAAACTAGACCTAGATTTCATGGCATTTATATATAAAATTAAAGAATGCCAAAAATTTTAGAAAGTATTTAAAAATTTTTAGCAGTCTCGTGGTGGTTTTTTTTTTTACAAAATAATATATATATTTTACAATATTTTTGTAATACATATATGTATAACAAATTAGAATATAAAAGATTTTGGTGTAAAAGACCCTCTCTCCCCATCTATCACTCGTACAAAATTTTTCCAACAAAAAAATTGCTAAATAATTAAATAACTCTAAATTTTATTAAGCCAACTGGCTTTCTGCTCCTAAACAAACAAA